TGGGGGGGGGGGGGGGACCTGCCCCCTCAGGACCCCCTTTGGGTCCGCCCATGTTAGCGGTGTCAACCGACCGCTCGGTTTTGAGGCCCTCGGGTTGGCACGACCTTGTTTTGGAGCCTGATACACCTAAAAGTATCATAACCTAGTGCGGCTCATTAGCGTGGCTTGGTTCATGCCGACCCTATGGACCCTGCAACCAGGCTCGACACGAGCCGGCTTGGCCTAGGCAGACTACCGAAGATATATTTAAAACACCTTTGGATGAACTTCTCCTAAAAGAGAAAGATCTCCTTTGTTATAGCAATAGCATTTGATTTTCTCATAGAATTGTTAGTCAATTATAATAGGGATGCCAATGAGGTGAGGTGAGCCTCTTCATCCCCACCCCCACTAGGGATTTATGGGAGGCTGGGTTGGAGCGGAATTAAAATATCCTTGTTTACTTTCCTTTTAATTATTTATTTGATTTTTTAATATATATATATATACACACACACAATGCTATTTGAATTGTAAAACATATAAAAAAAAATGAAAAATAATAGTCGGAATAAGTTCGTGACTGGACCACCGACCATGTTCCATGTCCCCGCCCCTATTCTCAAACGAGGCTGGGCCATATCATTTTTTCATCACTATGTTACAATGGTCTCATTGCATTGTATATTAGAATTACTTACCTTGTTCTATGCTTATGATTGACAACTATTAAGTGCACGAGACAGCATCAAGTAATACAATGATGAATAAAATATTGTTTCCATGAAAATTGTTAAACAAATGGAATGGTTTAATTGTTGTCAATTGAAGTTATGCGACTTGATTACTAATAATTAAAGTTCAATGATGCAATTGTAACTGGAATAGAAGTTTGGTGACTGTTGTCACAATTAACCCTACTTTCTTCCATCGAGGTTTCCTCAATATTTTATATTTCTGTATTTGAGCTCTAGTTAGATGCTCAAGCAAGTTCATATTGACTTGATATTGTTAGTACACCTTAGTAGCGATTTGTTGATTCTCAAATCATGGATACCCTCTTGCACCATATCTTATATTTGGAGAAGAGCAAAATCACTCTTAAGAACAAAGGGAGCTAAGTTATTTTTAATTTTATTATGAACTTCTAATGGTCTTCTTGTGGCAATGACACCTCGATCCCGAAGCTTTCGGAGTATGTTTTTGAAAGGCGCTTCTATTTGTAAGGGGAATTCGTTATTGATAGATCTTGCCCAGTGTCCCCTCCTCTCCCGCCGCCTTTCGACCCAATACCCACGAGAGTACACTATGACAATTTCCCAGCATGAGTGCTTGATCGCGAGACAAATTTGAAGGCACCTGAATATAAGGATAAATAATTATTCGTCTTGTGTGAACATATATTATTATGTTATTTAACATTGTCCATGTGGAAAAAACAATGTCTAAGTACATGTTTGGTTGACATTATAAATCGCTTATAATTTAGCGATTAAAGTGAAACATAAATTTTAACACCACATTTTGTAGGATGCACAACTATATCCACTCATCCACCATTCATTTCACTTGCATTATAATTTTTCAACAACTTATAATTTTATTCAAACAAACACTAAAAATCATTTTAACGTGCGATACTCAATTAAATACTCCATAAATTTGTGTTTTATAATTTTTAGTTGGTGTATACAAATTACAAAACATCAAATCACAATACGTTCTTGTCCCTATTTAAGTCTTGTTCAAACTGCATTAAATTTTAAATCTATAAACCCTGTGTACTAAAACTCAAATATTATAAAATATTGGGGCACTTTAGCAAATACAAAAACTTCCTCGAGGATGCCAAAAAAGAATAAGGCTGTGTTTGATTGGTAGTTTTTTCCCTAGAAAATGGAAAAGGTTTTCCAATTTCGGCCTTTTGTTGTGTTTGATGGGTTCACTTTTCCATAGAATTTGTTTCCACCCAAGCTCAGCCACGCGCCACTTTTCCTTGCGTGGAAGGAATTTATTTTCTTTGGGTTTGGTTGGTTTTTCATTTTCCATCCTTCCTTTTTTTTTTTTGTTGTTGCAATGGAAACAAATTTCATAATCAATTGTAAAATAAAAATTTTACTTTAATGGACAATTTCCATATAAAACAAAGTCAAACAAACAC